AAAGTGTGGAGTGAGGAGTGTAACGTGTGGAGTGTGGAGTGTAAAGTGTGGAGTGTGGAGTGGAAAGTGTGGAGTGTGAAGAATGGAGTGTAAAGTAAGGATTGTGTAGTGTAAAGTGTGGAGTGTGGAGTGTAACGTGTAGAGTGTGGAGTGTAAAGTGTAGAGTGAGGAGTGGAAAGTGTAGAGTGTAGTGTAAAGTGTGGAGTGTGGAGTGTAAAGTCTCAGGTGAGGATTGAGGAGTGTAAAGTGCAAAGTGTAAAGCGCGGAGTGTAAAGTGTAGAGTGTGGAGTCTAAAGTGTATGTGGAGTGTGGAGTGTAAAGTGTAGAGTGTGGAGTGCGGAGCTTCCCCCATAGACACGGCGACGCCACAGGAAAACCAGAAACTCGAGACGAGACACGTGGGTGCAAAAAAACGAGCATTTCGTGCGAGACTTCCTCCAATTTTGATATTTTCCACACGTTATCAAACAGGTTGGAATGTCACAAAGTGCCACGCCTGCCACGCAAAACGACATGACAACCTGCTTGGACACATTCGAATAGGACATGTTTTCCAGCTTCCCCCATAGACACGGCGACGCCACAGGAAAACCAGCGACTCGAGATAAGACATGTGGATGCAGAAAAACCAGCATTTCGTACGAGACTTCCTCCAATTTTGCAATTTTGTGAACATCATCAAACAGGTTGGAATGTCAAAAAGTGCCACGTCTGCCATGCAAAACAACATGACAACCTGCTTGGAAACATTCGAAAAGGACAGGTTTTCCAGCTTCCCCCATAGACACGGCGACGCCACAGAAAAACAAGCGCCTCGAGACAAGACACGTGGATACAGAAAAACCAGCATTTTGTGCGAGACTTCCGGCAATTTTCACAGTTGGCAACATGACAAAAGGACACGTTTTGCAGCTTCCCCCATAGACACGGCGAGGCCATGGGAAAACCAGACACGCGAGAAGAGACAGGTGGGAGCACCAAAACAAGCATTTCGTGCGAGACTTCCTCAAATTTTCACACTTTGCAGCTTCAAAATCGACGTTTTCCTACGAGTTTTCCTTAGAACCCGAAAATTGGCAACATCAAAATCGATGTTTCGTGCGAGGCTTCCGTCAATTTTCAGCACATCGCACAAAATGCCACGCCTGCCACGGAATTTGCACCTTGTCGCCACTTGACGCAGCCCTGCCAATGCGATTTGCAAAAAACACGCAACGCGACACGTCTAAAGTGCTGCGCCTGCCACGAAAAATGACGATGGACGCGCCCAAAGTGCTGCGCTTGCCACGAAAACTGCAACACATCTTCTGAAAACGTCGCAAAAGTATTGCGCCTGCCACGCAAAACGATTTTCAACACGCTGCAAAACATGTCTGAATGTCACGAAGTGCCACGCCTGCCACGCGAAACGAAGCAACGACACGTCTGAAACCTCCAAAAATTACCACCTCTGCAGAACTTCCCATAGGCACGGCCATATGGTCCTCGCGCGGACGGTTGCGGACGGTTGCGAACGGTTGCGACCACAAACGCAACGTCGAGCGAACACACCCTCAACTCCCAGACCCCCAGAGTGAAACGGGAACCCTTGCTACGCATTCGGGAAAAACATGAAAAAATCAAGCTTGCTACCACTAGCTTTCGTGACAAGACATTGTTCAAACCCACTGCCTCTGCCTCGACTGGCTCAGGAGGGCCCTGCAATGAGCACAGGCAGAAAGCAAAATCCTGTAGGCTAAGTTATGAAATCTTAATGTTTCATTGCTTCACTGTGACCATTTGCCGCAGCAACACATTCTAATGCATTGTGCTTCAGTGACACTCAGTGACAACAACTGCGGCAATGATGAGGGAGCAAAATGCCGTTGAACCATGTTGAACCCTTCCACTTCGCAGCACAACTTTTGACTGCTTGGAAAGACCTTGTTCAAACACTGCACCTGCCTCGGCAATCACTTCAGAAAGTGGCAACACCTGCCGGAAGCCAAGCTCTAAGGATTCCAAGGTATGGCATTCAGAAATTCAATGTTTCAACATGTTTCAATGATCTTCAATGATTTTCAATGTATGTTTCACTTGGACCAGGTGGCATGCTAAGGTTTCGGGTTCCTTTATGTTCAGCTGGAACTACTGGTTGATACGGAGGCAGAAAAAGATGTGGGAGCGGAGAAGGCATAGAAAGCCATGGGCGCTAGCAATGAGAAGGGAGATGTGAAGGGTAGCGTGGAGGAAGGTGGCAAGATGGTCAGAGCAAGGTGGAGTGGAGTGACTAAGTGGGAAGGAGTTGGGTGGATCGCTGGAAGAAATGAATCCATATCAAAGTGTGCATGACAAATTGCGGGTTTGGCACTTGGACTGCTCCACATCCCTTGCTAAAGCAAGAAAAAACATGAAAAAAATCAAGCTTGCTACCACTAGCTTTCGTGACAAGACATTGTTCAAACCCACTGCCTCTGCCTCGACTTGCTCAGGAGGGCCCTGCAATGAGCACAGGCGGAAAGCAAATCCTGTGGGCTAAATTATGAAATCTTAATGTTTCATTGCTTCACTGTGACCATTTGCCGCATCAACACCTCCAGTGCATTGTGATATTGTGACAGTCAGCGGCAACAACTGCGGCAATGATGAGGGAGCAAAATGTCGTTGAACCATGTTGAACCCTTCCAGTTCGCAACACAACTTTTGACTGCTTGGAAAGACCTTGTTCAAACACTGCACCTGCCTCGGCAACTTCAGAAAGTGGCAACACCTGCCGGAAGCCAAGCTCTAAGGATTCCAAGGTATGGCATTCAGAAATTCAATGTTTCAACATGTTTCAATGATTTTCAATGATTTTCAATGTATGTTTCACTTGCACCAGGTGGCATGTTTCGGGTTCCTTTATGTTCAGCTGGAACTACTGGTTGATAACGGGCATGAGTTATGAGCAAAATACCATGGGGGAAGGTCCAAAATTGAGTCCTTGAGGGTTGGTAAACAAAAGGCCAAGAAAAAAGATGTGGGAGCGGAGAAGGCATAGAAAGCCATGGGCGCTAGCAATGAGAAGGGAGATGCGAAGGGTAGTGTGGAGGAAGGTGGCAAGATGGTCAGAGCGAGGTGGAGTGGAGTGACTAAGTGGGAAGGAGTTGGGTGGATCGCTGGATGAAATGAATCCATATCAAAGTGTGCATGACAAATTGCGGGTTTGGCAATTGGACTGCTCCACATCCCTTGCTAAAGCAAGAAAAAAACATGAAAAAAATCAAGCTTGCTACCACTAGCTTTCGTAACAAGACATTGTTCAAACATGCTCAAACCCACTGCCTCTGCCTCGACTGGCTCAGGAGGGCCCTGCAATGAGCACAGGCAGAAAGCAAAATCCTGTGTGCTAAATTATGAAATCTGAATGTTTCATTGCTTCACTCTGACCATTTGCCGCATCAACACCTCCAGTGCATTGTGCTTCAGTGACACTCAGTGACAAAAAGTCTGGCAATGATGAGGGAGTAAAATGTCGTTGAACCATGTTGAACCCTTCCACTTCGCAACACAACTTTTGACTGCTTGGAAAGACCTTGTTCAAACACTGCACCTGCCTCGGCAACTTCAGAAATTGGCAACACCTGCCGGAAGCCAAGCTCTAAGGATTTCAAGGTATGGCATTCAGAAATTCAATGTTTCAACATATTTCAACATGTTTCAATTTATGTTTCACTTGCACCAGATGGCATGTTAAGGTTTCGGGTTCCTTTATGTTCAGCTGGAACTACTGGTTGATGATGGGCATGAGTTATGAGCAAAATAACATGGGGAAAGGTCCAAACTTGAGTCCTTGAGGGTCGGTAAACAAAAAACCAAGAAAAAAGATGTGGGAGCGGAGAAGGCATAGAAAGTCATGGGCGCTAGCAATGAGAAGGGAGATGCGAAGGGTAGCGTGGAGGAAGGTGGCAAGATGGTAAGAGCAAGGTGGAGTGGAGTGACTAAGTGGGAAGAATTGGGTGGATCGCTGGAAGAAATGAATCCATATCAAAGTGTGCATGACAAATTGCCGGTTTGGCAATTGGACTGCTCCACATCCCTTGCTAAAGCAAGAAAAAAACATGAAAAAAATCAAGCTTGCTACCACTAGCTTTCGTGACAAGACATTGTTCAAACCCACTGCCTCTGCCTCGACTGGCTCAGGAGGGCCCTGCAATGAGCACAGGCAGAAAGCAAAATCCTGTGTGCTAAATTATGAAATCTGAATGTTTCATTGCTTCACTCTGACCATTTGCCGCATCAACACCTCCAGTGCATTGTGCTTCAGTGACACTCAGTGACAAAAAGTCTGGCAATGATGAGGGAGTAAAATGTCGTTGAACCATGTTGAACCATGTTGAACCCTTCCACTTCGCAACACAACTTTTGACTGCTTGGAAAGACCTTGTTCAAACACTGCACCTGCCTCGGCAACTTCAGAAAGTGGCAACACCTGCCGGAAGCCAAGCTCTAAGGATTTCAAGGTATGGCATTCAGAAATTCAATGTTTCAACATGTTTCAACATGTTTCAATGATTTTCAATGTATGTTTCACTTGCACCAGGTGGCATGTTAAGGTTTCGGGTTCCTTTATGTTCAGCTGGAACTACTGGTTGATGATGGGCATGAGTTATGAGCAAAATACCATGGGGAAAGGTCCAAACTTGAGTCCTTGAGGGTTGGTAAACAAAAGGCCAAGAAAAAAAGATGTGGGAGCGGAGAAGGCATAGAAAGCCATGGGCGCTAGCAATGAGAAGGGAGATGCGAAGGGTAGCGTGGAGGAAGGTGGCAAGATGGTCAGAGCAAGGTGGAGTGGAGTGACTAAGTGGGAAGGAGTTGGGTGGATCGCCGGAAGAAATGAATCCATATCAAAGTGTGCATGACAAATTGCGGGTTTGGCACTTGGACTGCTCCACATCCCTTGCGAAAGCAAGGCAAAAAGATGAAAAAAATCAAGCTCGCTATCACTAGCTTTTGTGACAAGACATTGTTCAAACCCACTGCCTCTGCCTCGACTGGCTCAGGAGGGCCCTGCAATGAGCACAGGCAGAAAGCAAAATCCTGTGTGCTAAATTATGACATCTGAATGTTTCATTGCTTCACTCGGACCATTTCCCGCATCAACACCTCCAATGCATTGTGCTTCAGTGACACTCAGTGACAAAAACTCTGGCAATGATGAGGGAGTAAAGTGTCGTTGAACCATGTTGAACCATGTTGAACCCTTCCACTTCGCAACACAACTTTTGACTGCTTGGAAAGACCTTGTTCAAACACTGCACCTGCCTCGGCAACTTCAGCCCCAGGTGACGCTTCAAATTCCGCCACCTGCAGGAAGAAAGAAAGTGCTTGAAGGATCCGAGGGTATTGCAATGCCAAAACTTGACATTTCGCGATGACCATGCACTGCATCAACGCCTACCAGGCCTACCACCTTTTTCGGGCATTTTTTTTCAAATTTGTTTTGATGAGGATGAAACTGCCATATGGTACTGGATGCACTGGTACTAGGCCACTTTGAGACCCAATCATGACTGATCCCAACAAGATCTTTCTCAAATCCACTCTCTCCCCGCCTCCGCCTTGATTACCGCAGGCTTCTTTGCTGCTTGCAACGCATCAAAGTGCGCAATGGCCGCCAGCATCCCCGATCCCGGCGTGTCCTCCTTCGGTTGATCCTTCATCTTCCTGCCCTCGGCCTCCAGTTCGGCCAGGTGTCGCTGCTGCAGCGCCTGGCTTTTGCCATCAACCATCCTCCATCCCAGGAGCCGCGGGTCATCCCCCGAGCGCGCGGTGACGGGGAATCTCATGCCGTACACCGACGCCGCCGTGGCTGAATCCATGGCAGGGATTCAGCGATGTCGCGATGTCGCGATGTCAACGTGCTCAGCAGCTGAGCCAAGGTGTCTCCAGGCGATTTTTTTGAGGACAATGATGGACTCCATGTGATGAATCTGAGCCCATAGCCGCCACAACCAAGCTATCATGTCGTAAGGTATCTGCAGGATCTGCCAAGAAATCAGAGAATTCGTGTCAACTTGGAAGCTTGCAGCTCAGAACAGGCTCTGCCAAGAATTGGTTGGGGCCAAGTCAGGTGACAACAACATGCTGAAGTATCATGAAAATTCATGAAATATGTTGAATACTTGATATCGATGAGAGCGACTCAACGGCAATCTTCGGAGCTAAATGACCCAATCCACCCTTGGCATCACAGGTATCTCTTGGATTTTTTTTCGTCAAATTCCGGGAAAGCCCCCAAAAACGGTAGGCTTTCCAGGCCGGCCCTCTGCTGCGATTTTTCGGTTCAAAACGTCCCCCCCGGGTAGGGTATGGGTTGAAAAGCTATGTTATGAATCATTCCATGACTTGCAGAAGCTGTGGCAAGCCATCAAATCAATCGAGGCTGCAGCCAGTTAGCCGCAGCGTGCATTTGGGATGCAGTGGGTCTACTTTACCCAGTGCCAGAAATTCTGGCGCTGGGTAAAGTATACCCACTGCACCCCAAATGCACGCTGCGGCGAACTGGCTGCCTTGGTCTGCGTGTGAAATACCTATAGTTCTTTATACACAATTATACACAGCTAGCAATTACATTCCACTTGAAAAATACAAACATCTGCAAGATTCCTGGACATGATATTGTCTCATTGATGCGGGTGAAACTAAATTGCTAGGCGGCGGTCACTTTTCGCGCCTGGGGAACGTTGGCTTTGACTATGGGCAACTAGCAGGTCACACCACCTTCATCCACCTTCCCTTGCTGCCACAAGATCCATGGCCTTCCCGACAGAATTAGGTGATGATTATATGCTTAATGCAGCTGATCACATTCCCCACCCTTTTAAAAATGTCTAGCTGTCCAGCCCTCAACTGCAGGTCACACCAGCAGCCCAACACCTTCCCGGCTGCTGCCTGCCGCAGCAGCCGATCGCAGAGAGAAAGGCCTTGGATCTTTGAGGCTTTTGTTATGAGGCAAGTTTCCAAACATTATCCGACCGGGTCCCAGCTTATTCTCAAGTGATGCCGAAAAGCCCTTTTGACGGAACTAAAATTTAGTTGCCAAATCCTCACATCCATCGGCAATTTCCGATTGGCACTGCACGCAGTGTCAAGCAAATTGATGTTTCCCAGATCCACAGTTGAAGGACTAGCCGACTAGCCCACCACCAGCTGACTTGGCCCATCCTGACCCTGCCCCTGTCCTGCACAAATTGCGCGATGTCATCCTGAAAGTTCATGTGGAGATGTTTGGGAAATCTGTGGGTGTCATCACCACCAACCAGTTCAGGTTTGACAATTTTGCAACTGGTGGTGAAGACTGGGTCACTAGGTGCATTATGACAACGATGTCTCATCCGATTGCACAATTGAGAAATTATCTTTGTGTCTGCCATGAGTCCAATTTCTTGTGGAACCACTTTACAAAACAAACAGTTGAAAGATGTTGAAAGGCTGTCTCCTCTCTCTTTTTTTTGAAATCATGAACAGGGTCCAGGGTGGTGGTACCCTCAAATCGCCATGCGCAACATCCAAGACCCCCTTTCAAATCTGGCAAGCCTGCGGGGGCTGTTCCTCCTCCCCGTGAGTCTCCGAGGGCTGTTGAAACAGCGATTCTGCCTGCAATGAGCACAGGCAGAAAGCAAAATCCTGAAGATTGTCACACCCTGGGATGAATTATGAAAATATTGATGATCTGGGATGTTTTCTTGCTTCACTGTGACCATTTGCCGCAGCAACACATTCTAATGCATTGTGCTTCAGTGACACTCAGTGACAACAACTGCGGCAATGATGAGGGAGCAAAATGTCGTTGAACCATGTTGAACCATGTTGAGCCCTTCCACTTCGCAACGCAACTTTTGACTGCTTGGAAAGACCTTGTTCAAACACTGCACCTGCCTCCGCAATCACTTCAGAAAGTGGCAACACCTGCCGGAAGCCAAGCTCTAAGGATTCCAAGGTATGGCATTCAGAAATTCAATGTTTCAACATGTTTCAATGATTTTCAATGATTTTCAATGTATGTTTCACTTGCACCAGGTGGCATGTTAAGGTTTCGGGTTCCTTTATGTTCAGCTGGAACTACTGGTTGATAACGGGCATGAGTTATGAGTCGAGCAAAATACCATGGAGAAAGGTCCAAACTTGAGTCCTTGAGGGCTGGTAAACAAAAGGCCAAGACAAAAGATGTGGGAGCGGAGAAGGCATAGAAAGCCATGGGCGCTAGCAATGAGAAGGGAGATGCGAAGGGTAACGTGGAGGGAGGTGGCAAGATGGTCAGAGCGAGGTGGAGTGGAGTGACTAAGTGGGAAGGAGTTGGGTGGATCGCTGGAAGAAATGAATCCATATCAAAGTGTGCATGACATATTGCGGGTTTGGCAATGTGACTGCTCCACATCCCTTGCTAAAGCAAGAAAATAACATGAAAAAAATCAAGCTTGCTACCACTAGCTTTCGTGACAAGACATTGTTCAAACCCACTGCCTCTGCCTCGACTGGCTCAGGAGGGCCCTGCAATGAGCACAGGCAGAAAGCAAAAGCCTGTGGGCTAAATTATGAAATCTTAATGTTTCATTGCTTCACTCTGACCATTGCCGCAGCAACACATTCTAATGCATTGTGCTTCAGTGACACTCAGTGACAACAACTGCGGCAATGATGACTTTTGACTGCTTGGAAAGACCTTGTTCAAACACTGCACCTGCCTCGGCAATCACTTCAGAAAGTGGAAACACCTGATGGTTCCCACTCTGGTAGTCTAGGCAAATCTCTAACCAAATTGTTGCCTAACACTCAAAACCCTAGAGTTTTGAGACAAATCATGTTAAACCTTGCTAGCACATACCATGGCCATAGTTAGATTTGGCATCATTTTGAGATGGATTTGGGTAGGTCCCATCGCAAACTAATGTTGGACAAAGTAGGATCCATCGCAAAAAGTATTTGGACAAAGTAGGATCCATCGCAAATCTAACCTGGTAGAACTCAGGTATGTTCTGTCGCAAAATCATGGGCCTACTCTGATTTCAATAGTTTGTGGGATCCACTGTGGGCTCTGGCATCCGTAATGTAAGTAATCCGGATGGCGGTTCTTCTCTAGTAAATTTAAGAGTAGCGCTACTGTATATATTGGAAGTAACTCTCAAGCCAGGTGCCAAGTTCAGCTTCTTTGACTCACGGTTTTTTCGAAATGGCTCAATGTTAATTGAACAGATCAGCGCCACTAGTATAACATGTGACCCTTGATTACTTTTGAACCCTTGGATGTGAGGAAAAAACCATACTACATGTATCATGTATCTATGTATGTGTATCTATATATCTGTGTGTAATTTCTTAATGGAATCGTTCATAGTTGATATTTCGAGGTGGTTCAAGAACACATGGTGTAAAAGGAGAATATCTTGTGACACTATGGTAGTAAAGCATAGTAAAGCAACAATAAACCACCCATATTTTGATGGTTTATCAGTTTATCCCACAATATCCCACCTATTTGTGGTACAATTGAAGATGGTTTGCTA